TAGGGAAAAAAAACCTCCTAAAGACCTTTCTAGATATTTGGAGGGGAAACATTAAACAGCCCTCACTTTCCCTTCAAGTTTTGGTGCATCCTGCAAGTTTGTCTCATGAGATATGCATTGCTAGAAGCCAGTGGCAAACACAGGCTCTGATCTGTGCTGACTTGTGTATCCACCCTGCCTGGCGCTGAGCACTCTGACACAGGTTTGTACACTTAATTTCTAGCGACTGAACAGTCTCAGAGAAAACTACATTGGGACTGTTGAAGGGTTGAAAACTACATGTGGATTTCCCACATATTCCTACGCTGGGGCTGACGTGCTTCACCCAGGTTGCTCTGGGGTTGCCAGAAAATCGTAAATCGATGAAGCAATCCATGTTGAACTGGAAGTCTGAAGTGTTGCTTTCAGTCATAACATTTCCACACTTACTCAGAGTTATTTTATTAATAAACACTGAATACTGCTTATTAAAAGCTGTGTATTATTCATAAGTATAGTCATCAATCCTGATATTTATGCAGATATTTATTGCAGAAAACTAGCAGTAACGGTCTCTAAAGTTCTTTCAGTGTTTTGCCTTAAATCTTCATCTTGGCAATGATTAAAACTGCGATTAGTTTAGCAGTAGGCTTATTTATGGTCATTTGAAAGTATTAAACGACAAGAAGTTGGAAAATATTGCTCAATGAGAGATTTGGAGAGGCTTGCTAATTTAGCTATTGATTCATTCATCATTTTCTTGGCCATTTTCTAAGTATGTGCAACCTAGTGAAATAATGGGTTTGATTATTATACATTTATCATCAGTGTTGAAAAGCTCACACTAAATCACGAAATCCACTCCCTACAAGCTGAGGACAGGTGACCCGACTCATTACACACTTGAGCACACAAACATCTTTACTCACATGAGCAGAATTAATGGGGGCTGAGATTTAAATTAGGGGATCAGATAAAACATCCTTTCTTCAAGCCCCTAAGCAACCTGATCTGACTTTGAAGCTGGCTGAAGATGTTAGCTGGGGGCTACGGGGGGATTACATGACCTCCAGAGGTTCTTCCCACTCTAAAATTTTTTTCTATTTGATTTACTACCTTGCACGGGGAAGTCCCATTTGACAGTTCTGTAGCAAAAATGAAAAGACAGAAAACATCCCTCTGCCTCACCCGCTTCAGTTCACTTCAAACTTTAAAATTAAAATCTTACTAGTGAAAGAGGCTTTGCCCAAAAATGGTGAGCCATAAACTGCAGCACCTATGCCACAGCCAGGTGTCCCAACATACTCTACAGCACAAGAGGCAAAACAAACAACTGGTGCAACAACATCCTACCCTGAAGCAGCTACGTTGACCGGAGGATGTCCAAGAGAAGCCACAGCCCTAAAGAGCATGTAGGATCTAGCCAGAAGGGAAATGCATTTTGCTTTTAGAAAAGCTTTGAGAGAAGCTTTTTAGAAAATCAGAAAACGCTATTACTGACAAATTCCTGATAAAGCCAATTAAGTTACTAAACCATTCATAAGAAAGCTAGGAAAGGAAATTTACAACAAAAGGAGTAGGGAGGGGTCAGTTATTTATGAAGCAGTATTAGATTTCAAAACATACAAGTTCTTTTTAGTGGGTAAAAACACTAATATTTTTGTATAAGTATCTTTCAGTCCACTGACCCACTAATAACAAAGTTCCTCCCTCCTTTGCTTAGTCACAGTTTTAAGAAAAATAAATCATGAGCCCCCCATACTTCAAAGGGAACATACTTCAAAGTGCCCTTCTGCTTTTTCTTTCTACTCCCTCTCTTCCTATCTCTTAAGCAGCCACACTTCAACTCACATTTATCCTTGACACCTTAATCAGCCAAAGCATTCACTAACTTCTCAGTGAGGGAGTGCACTATTGAGCCCAAATACCTACAAAACACTTAAACAATGAAGTGTAATAATTTCCTGAATTTCAACTCAACATTTCAGGAAATAACCCTGTAGCCAAACTGAAATTACAGTTAGCACTCCTAGAAGCACAGTCTTTCCAACAGCACTGTGCTTATTTTTTCAGACAAATAATATTTTAATGGGTCTAAAGGGTAGATAAAAAGGATTCAGGCATTTGTAAGATTTTTAGGCTTAATCACCAAAGTTTTCTATTTCTAAAACAAAAATGAATTAAAGAAAAAAAAAAAGAGTGCTGACTATAATCCATATCTGAAATACACACTCTTTTATATGTGAAGAACATGTGGAATTCAGGAGTACACTGTATGTTTAAGGCGATGAAACACTCTCACATAAAATGCAATGAGCTATTTAAGTAATTGTTATGCATAACCTAGACTGTACCTAAACAGTAGAAGGGCTCTTTAAACCTCATCTTAAATAATTAAATCAATAGTAAATCCACTGACTGACAAAAAAAACCCCTAATAGTACTCAAGGACTAATAAACCCCGTACATCTATGATACCGTTAACAAACGCTTTGTTTGCTTTGGATCTCACTGTCCCCACTATCTGTAGCAGAATGAGCTCTTAGATGAACCACGGGTATCAGAAGGAGACTACACAGGGACTGCAGTTTATCCTGATGAATATCTGCTATTTAGTTCATTTTTAACTTCTCTATGTAAGCGTACAAAGGAAAAAAGAGAACAATTTCAGAAAAGCCCTCACAGTCATTTCTTTGTTGCTTTTATAGCTCTTTCCTGTCCTATTTTTGTCAACATTAGCTAACAAACATATACAAATACATTTGGTATTCAGATCACTACTCCTTCTGAATTAAACAATATTTTTCAGAGGAATTAAGTTACTCCTGTTTACAGGGGGTTGCAGGATTTGAACCCTGTATTTCAAACACTTTGGATTAGTTCCTTTATTACTCTGCCACTAAAAGAACGTGTGTACCAGCAACAGACAGAAAAATAAAAGTCACAGCCTGCCTACAAGCAGAGATTTTGCACACAATAACGTTTCAAGATTTTGATATTCCAGCTGCTTTCAGTGTTAATCTGCTGGTGCTGTAATAGGTACTTACAATATTTTATGTTAAGAAGAAGGAATTGTTTTGCAGTTGCCATCAGGGTAATAAAGAAAATAACAGTTATGTTCACCCAAGAAAGTCAAATTGAGGAAAAAAAGGCTTATGATAAGTATCTAATTCCATTCTAAAAGAACAAAAAAACCCCATGAGATTGGCCACAGCAGGCGAGACCAAATGTCTGTTTAGCCCTATATTCTCTCTCTGACAGCAGCCAACTCCAGATGTTTAGAAGAAGCATAAGGACAGATGATACCATTACACTGAACAACAGAGTCATCTGGAAGGGATGGGACTTCTGGAGGTCACCCAGTCCTGTCCCCTGCTCAAACTGGGCTTCCCCTTCTGACTCCTGCCAAAGATCTCACCCGCTCAAGCAGTTCGTGGTTGAGGAATTTCCTGAGCTAGAAGCAATGCCTTTGCACTTTCTTCATTATCTGCTAGCAGATTGTCTAAGAAAATCCTAATTTACCGCCTCTGAAATTCCTTATCTTAATGCTCAGTGATTTATGTGTTCAAAGAGCTCAGCTTCAACCCCTCCTCAGTCCTCCGTAGCTCCGCTACAGAGACTCCCCAGGACAGAGGGCACACCCCATTACACAGCCTGTAAGCTCAGTCAGAAGTCCAAAATCGCCAGTTCTACACTCCAAAGAGAAACAAGGGAAATTACACAAGACGGTGTTACTCAGCTGTCTGCAGCCTTTGTTATTTCCCTCAAATTCCAGTGTTTATATATTCCAATAGAGAAAAGCTCTCTTTTTTTAACAAAAGTAGCAATCCAAACAAACAGAAATGAGTGGATTTGAGTGCCAGACGCCCAGCACCTATTTTCACAGGTGCCAGGGAGGCAGCATCATCGATGTCCGCAGTCTGTCTCAGTAGCACCCCAGAGCTAGCAGTACCAGGCTCATCCTCACTGTTTCACATCAAAATTAAAACTAGTTATTCTTTGAATCCTCACCATCACCTCAGTCCAACTCTGAGCCTAATCCCTTCAAAACCCATGCGTGTCTTTCCACTGGCTTCTGGGGGAGATGAAATGGTTTCACAGAGTGCTTAACACCTACAGCTTTCAAAAAAGAGCGTGCAAATATTACTGCTTTTCAAGTGGGGAAATTGACGAAGGGAGATCTGCCTGCAATTAGCCAGAAGGTGAGATACAGCTGTTCCCTGACTCGCTCCTGCAGGCTCACCCAGCCTTGCTCCACCACCCTGTGCTGTAGGCGGCCACTCTACAGACTACCACGCGCTCACACTCAGTCACATGAAGCTTAAAATCAAATAACTTCGTACTGTGCCCTGTAAAAATCTCTGCACTGGCTGCTCCCCTGGCTGGACGACCGACAGGGATGCACAGATTGTAAATGGCCGACGTTCCTGGCTCACCCTCACCCTCACGCTCACATCCAGCCAGCCACACACACGGCAACCACCAAACCGGTTCTGAGTGCTGCTGTACCCTGGCAAAACCCGGACCGGGGTGCATGGGTGTGCTCCTGGCAGGTGCTGGTGCTCCCGGCGCCAACGGGAAACCGCCTGCCTGCTCACCGCCTCCCCAAACACCTTGTGGGGCGTCGAGGCGTGCCAGGGCGGGGTGTCAAGGTGTGCCAGGATGGGGTGACGAGGTGTGCCCGGATGGGGTGACCAAGCGGGCCAGTGCGGGGCAATGAGGCGTGCCAGCCGCTGGGCAACCAGGCGGGCCAGCGCGCCTCCCTTTTCAGCTCTGCGGACCGGCTGCGCGGACCAACAAGGCGCTCAATCTGGCTCTAATTAGCTCCCGGCAGCCTTATGTTTGCAATGAGAAGGGAGCGCTTTGTTCGGGGCACGCTGGGGGAGCAGAAGGCGCCCTCCCGCCCCGGCCCTGCAGGCTTTTTGGGGTGCGGGGACCGGCGGCCACCGCTGCTCCGGCGGAGCTCGGCAGGGGGTGGCCAAAGCCCTTCCCCTCCCCAGGTCGCCTCTTCGGCTACTTACACCGGGGTGGGCTGGCAGGGGAACTGGTTCCAGGCGCACTTGTACTGGGCCTGGACGTAGCTCTCCGTCCCGTCCAGCACCGAGCAGCTCACGTTCTTGTTCACTATGTAGGCGCACCAGTTCCTGAGGGGGAGGAAGGAGAAGACAACGGCCGTCAGGGACGGGCAGCGGCAGGAGGGAACCCACACACCGCCCCAGCCCGCCTGCCCCAGCCCGCCCCGGCTCGCCCC